ACATACATCCTCTTGAGTTACTCCTGTCCACTTCTTCCTCCTCAGAAAACTCTTTAGTCTACTTAGTCTTACTGTGCCTGGAACTGTTGCATAAACTCTGGTCAGCACCAATCATTACAACTTAGAGAATCCCTTTTTCAGTCATACTGTTCCTTTGCAAAACTGCAAAGGGAATGGGAGGATCTGTAAGCGAACCCAAAATTCTGAGTCTACAATTTCTGCTTATTTTCAGCTTCTGCCTGCTTAAATACTTCATTTATCTTTTAGATGGTCACTTAAAAACCCACCAAATCCTGCTATACATTCACAGAACTATCCACACTGACTCCATGGTCTTTCTCCTGAATTTAGCACCTACTGAGGTCTCCGTACAGTTATTTTTTGAGCAATGCTTTTCAATCTGCAGGAACAAATCAGTTTTGAAAGGCTGGTAAGGTACAGGAATATGCTGGGTAATTCTGATACAATCAAGGAACAGAAATTTTATCTGCTGTACCACAGAGATAATTTCAACTAAACTCCAAAGGTAAAACAGAACAATGAACAACACACTGGGAATACTGACAAGCCACCTCTGAAAACACAATGCATGAATAAGGGAATAATCTCTTTGGAGAAAATGAATAGATCACAAATAACAGTAAGTCAGAATGGAAACTCATTTCTATATTATAGTTTGTTGTTGTAGCATCTACTCTCTACAACAGGCTTTCCTAGGGGCAACAACCTTTTCCTCAACAACTCCTCATTATGAAGACAAATAATTCAGAACTATATTGGCTACAAGGGACTGTAACCATCTGGTTTACTTTTTCCCAGTCAACATTGTATTTCAAGAAAATTTCCACCCTAGATATTGTTTCATATGAACTAAACCAAAGATCATCTTCATTAGCAACTAACACCCATTAATGTACTTAGCTACAGGGGGAAAAAGAATCCTAATTCCTCCAGCAAGGATACAGGCAAAATCTTAATGAAATATGCATAGTAACATTAAAAAAAAAAAGGGAGCAAAAGTTTGGTATCTAATATATAATCACAGACCAAGTCAGGTGTGCAGATTCCCCAGCACAAACTTTATTAGAGTTCAGTTAAAAATACATGATCTCCAGACATTTGAGATGTAGTTCTGACTGATAAGGTAGCAGACAGGAAATGAAACCCCTCCCAAATGCTGCTCCTTATCTGGAAAAGCTCTGAAATTATTATAGAACTAATAAAGTAATGTTGCTTTTTTTAAAAAAAAACAATCTTCTTTGATAAAGGCAGTTATGAGATTATTACTTTTTGCTGGGTATGTACCATACTGAGCATGACAACTTTTAAGAGTCTTATAAAGACTCTGGCAGTGAATCTGTCAGCCTTTCTGAAAGGGAGGATACTTGAGCTGTTAAGCTAAAAGTTGGCAGACAGCATCATACATTATTTTTACTAGAATTATTAGCATTCATTCTTTTTGCTTTAATATTTAGATATTGAGAGAAAATGAAAGAATACAAGACAGTCCCCTACTCGGGAAGGTTCCCGCTCCTACTGTGTAATGTTTAATGACAACAGATTAAATCCAGCTTATTCCTGGAATCTGGAAAATGTGGGGTCAGATCCTTAATGTCGAGAAAGACACCAAATCCCAACTGACAGGGAAAGTGCTCCTGCCACTGAGGAGACAGGATCCACTGCCATTTCCATCAGCTGCAGTTAAAGGAAAGCCTGCAGAGCCACAGAGCCAGCTGGGAGCTCAGGGGAAGGGATGCACCTCTGAGGACCACAGCTAAGTGAGGAAGGGGATGGGATTTAAAACACATCCCTGTTGTCTCTGTTCACTGTGAGCTGCACTGAGGCAGCTTCATGTTGAGGGTTGAGTGGGTACCACTAGGAAGGCCCTAAGCCCTTCCATGCCCTGTGTAACAGGAGCTCAGACACCTTCCACAGCAACACTCTGGATGCTGTGATGGAACCAGGCACACAGAGGCTGGGAATTGCCAGATTCAGGCTTTGACATAAAAAATACAACTGCTAGTTTATTAAAAAAGATTTTAAAAACAAATATTTCACGAGTCAAAAACTGACCAAAATTATTTGAAGCTTTATTAGCTATGTTTTTTCAACCACACAAAAGAATGAACATGGAGCAAAGCTCTAGGAAAATAAGAACATCTTTGTAACACAGGTTCTGTTTCTAAAGTCCAAATTATACAAAAGTTCGACTTCTTAAATGTTAAAATTCTACACTATAGGTATAGGTAAAATTTATTTTCTGGGTTTTGTGGAAAAAAAACCCTAAGTATGTACATAATGACATTATGACTAAATTACCACAAGTAATTCCAGATTGATAAAGCCCAGAAAATTGTAACATTACGTTCAGAGGGCTCCATCCATGTGGAGAGTTAACTCCACAATCCAGAGTTTCTATTTCTTACCTGCAAACTACGAAGCTACTGGCTTCAAACCCTTCACAAATTCTGTTTTAGCAGATGGGTTTCCTAAGGGCCCCAGACCAGCTCATTCCACAGCCCCTTCCTGGATGATTCCCGTGTTCCCAGAGGCATATCCAGGTAGGATTTACAGCACACACCGCCCTCTACTGGGGCAGGTAGGGAGCGACTATTTTGAAGGTAATACTTAAAAAATTAAAGATTATAGCTAAAGGATAAAATACAGTTAATAATATCCTTAAAGGGTAAAATACACTTAATTACCACACTTTAGATTAATATCTGGGGAAGACCTGTTGATTGGTCTTTCTATTTCCAAATGTATTCACCAGTGACATCCAACAAATCTTATTACAAGCTACAATTAACTCCTGCCAACAGGTTGCCACATGTGCTGAATTTTTGAACAAGTTTACAGAGAGCGACAATCAACTCATCAGTTCCATGTAACTCACACTAAAGACAACACAGATCATGTTTCACACCCAAATCCAAAATGATGACACAAATCCTAGTGACACTGCCATAACCTGATGCAGGCATTAAGAACTGGACACAAACAATTTGCAAAATACAGGGCAAAATTTCAGAAGAAAATTGTTGAACTGACCTCTTCATCTGACTCATCTGCAAACACCGAGAGCTTCTTTGAAACGAGATTTTTCTGTGGCAATTTTTTTGGCATAATAAGCCCATATCTAGAGAAAAGAAAAAAAAAAGTTACTTACAACAGAACACGTGGCATGTTCCGAAGCAAAAATCTGCCACTCACCATTTCAGAAGCAAAAGCTCAGTATCAATATAATGTCTTGAAGTTAGATGTGAGCTGCCTTTGCAGCAGAGTACTCGGCCCTGACACACACCTGCCAGATAATCCCAGAGCTATTGCTGTCTTCTTCCATGTAAAGTTTCTGGATGTAAATTTGTGTCCTAAATTAGGCACAAACCCCTCTTGCCCAGAATTCTCCATGGGGTTTTCTTTTCTCCCTCAGAGAAGTAAGAAATTCCTGTTTAACCTGGAGGGATTTAGCCTTAATCTACACCACAGTATTGTGTAGCTACGTTTGCAGTGCAATAAGAAGTTCACCTGTTTTGCTGGCGATGTAAACCTCAGGTTTACAAAGGCCAAAGGATAAGACTTGCAGTCTGCTTATGTCACGCAGAGATTGATTAACCACATGTAGACAACTCTTCCGCAGACACGATCCACCTCTGTTAAAAATACCTCCTTTTCGTACTGAGCAACCTCTAAATAAGGAATTTCTCCCCCGCCTGCCTTTCCCTGAGTCCCTCACTGAGCGAATGGTTGGTCAGAGTGTATCTCTGAGCTGGAGCACCGCACCATCGTGGGGGTACAACCCCACCTCTGTGACCGCCCTGAACCCTCCCCTCAGCTCCCTCCGACCCGGCTGCCCCCAGGGCCGGCGCTCGGGGGCGGGAAGCGCGGCTCTGTGTGAGGGAAAACTGAGGAAATTCCCTTCCCTAAGAGTACGAAACACCTCCGGGCAACACCGCCGCTGCCTCAAGCGCCTGCCCGCTGTTTGGGGTTCGTTTGCTTTTAATAAACACAGGTTTAAATTCAGGCCAACACTGCGGGGCTACGCCGCGGACACCCGTGACGAGCGAGTCCACAGGGGGGAGTTGTGCCAGGGCTCGTCCCCACCCTCAGCGCCGGCCCCAAAAACCCCCTGGCGGGGCCCGCCCGCCCCTTCCCCCTCAGCACTCACTGCTTCCCCAACGCCGCCATCTTGCCCGGCCGCCCCTGCGCAGCCGCTGCCGTTCCGCGGCCGCAGATTCTTCTCGGCCGAGTCGCCCCCACACACTTTTCTCCGCCCTCCCCGGAGACCCCCACGGCACCGCGCCGCCGTCCCGCTCCAGGAAGGGAGCGGAGAGCGGGTGGAAGGGGCTGGAGGCGGCGGGCGATTTTTTTTTCAGCGGCCCGTTGGTGGGTGGCGAAAGTGCCGATACGGGAAGGGGCTGTCCCGGGCGGCGCGCGACGCCCTGAGGGGAGCAGGGGGCGCCTCAGGGCAGTGGCGGGAAAAGCCCCTGAGGCGAGAAAGGTCCCTGAGGGGGGAAAGCCCCTGATGGAGCGAAGCCCTTGAAGGGAAAAGGTCCTTGAAGGGAAAAGCCCCTGAGGCACCCCCGACTATGCCCCTGGTGGTCGCCGGTCCCCGGGCCGGGGGTGCAGAGCCGTCCTGCCCCCCCCAGTCATCACAGACCTGTCACTTGTTGCCTGCTAAAGACTGAAAGAGGAGTTTTAATTTCCCAAAATATTATTAAAAAAGTGATTCTGCCAAAAGGGACGTTATTGGAAAGATGAAATCTCACTGCCAACAGTGCAGTTGCTGTAATATCAAGCTTTATCCCAATAAGAAAGCTTTTTGTGTTATATTAACAGTGTTGGGCTTTTCTGCAGCGTGTTCAGAAGAATGTTACAAAATGCTGATTAATAACCTCTGCTTAAAATTATTCCGAAAAAGTCATTTAAGGTGACTGAATCTTGAAAATTTTTGCTGTATCATTTATGAGATTGTAGCTGGGGAGTCATAAAGTCACTGCTTAAAAACACCCAAAACTTTATTCAAGCCTTTAAAATTCAGTAGCTATATTAGAAAAATTTTTTCCTTTAATGTTTTTATTGCTTTTTCTTAATAATCCTTAACAGACTTCCTATCATTTTAACTAGTAATCCCTAACAAACTTCAACCATCTTAACAACGAATACTTAGTGGCTATGCTTAAAAAAATAGAAAAACAACAGTTAATTTAAATTTTAAAATTTGTGAAATACTAGAATCACGAGGGTTAGACGAGGAATTAAGAGATTTAATTGGAGGCACACAACAACTGGATGCCAAAAGGAACTAAGGATGGGGTTTTTCACTGTGTTGGCTCCCTGTGATCTCTGCGAGTGCCAGGCAGGTGTGAACCCAGTGGTACAGGAACTCGGCTGGAGCACAGCCCTGCTGCCACACCGCCGCTCGAGGGACACCTGCAACCAAAAAAGAGCTGTAACTACAAGAGGGAAAGTCAAAACCATGAGCAGTGTTGCCCCAAAATCAAAGAGAGGTCATTCCATCAGCAGTGCTTTCCCTGAGTCCAGTAATTCCACCCTGCAGAATGGTGATGCTTTGAAAGGCACCGAGCATTATCGTGACAGTGACCTGTCAAGCACAGAAGTGCTGACTTTTTATTAGAATTTATCCTGTATTGTGGTAGGTCCCCTATTGTACAAAGTGCTCTGCTCTATTTTAATGCTAAACTTTTGATAATCAAAAATACAATGAGAAAAGTGCTTTTTTTAATCCAAGTTCAGATTTAAGAGTAATATTCAAAGCTTTTACTAAGTGCTATTAAAAGTCACCACATAATCATGCCATAAAGGTTGCTCTGTCCATAGAATTCAGGTTGTTTTGTGCTCTGTTCTATATTACAGCACAAATATATGGAACATACGTGTATTACCTGATGTTCATTTTAAAGGAATTCCTGTAACTGTGAGTTATACCTGCATTTCATCCTGGGAAACCAACCTTTCCTAGCATACCAGCAATTGGCCAAAGCTGTATTCTTTAATCTAGTTACATCTTTGTCCATAGCTGTAGGAACATCAGATGCTGTAGGCCTGCCTTGTTCTTTCCAGTGAATTAGTTTAATATATATGAGAACACATGAAAAGGAACCATGACGGCCTCAAGTGTTTACTCTTTATCAGCAGGCAAGGTACTGTTGATAAATATCTCCAGCTAAATTAATAACTCTTGTCCAGGTTTGTTTTTTAACAGGCCTCTCAGATCATCAAGGGAGAGATCTCAACAAGAACAAGTAATTTCTCTTGCAGAGATATTGCAAATAATAATAATAATAATAGCCTCTTGAGTGCCCTGGCACCAAAAAAGCCCATGTTTATTAAAGGAGAGAAAGACAGGCTGAAAAGCAGCTCCTGTTTGTGGCCAGTGAGTACATTCAGCACTTGGCAGATGGTGTTTACAAAGAGGAGGGCTCATGCTGTCCTCCCACAGTCATGTTCCTGTTTGGAGCTGGGTCAGTCCCTAGGGCAGGGCACAGAGGTCTGAAGTAGATTTGCTTGCCAAAAGAACCATCATTCTTCATATGTCTTCACGTATTACTTGCCAAAAGAACTCTCATTCTTCATATGTTTGTCTGGAGGTGTACAATGAGATCACTTGTTCTGGAAGCTTTCAAAGCTGATCTGCTCCCCTTTCTTTAAGGCCGTGAATTTTGAGTCTAAATTTAACGGGTTGACTTCTAGTGATTGCAGATATTTAGGAACCTTTATCTGTTGTTTAATCTCTTGTGAAATCAAAGTTAATTTGTGAAGTAAGGACCTTAAAAGTACTCAGCTGAAGGTGGCCACCGACACTATTTCTGAGCTGTGCCTGGGAACCTCACAAGGAGTTTATGATATTTACCAGTGATGCAGTCCAGCAGCTCTGCTTGAATTTGCACAGATGCAGCAGTTGGATCAAAGCAATAAATCTCCTGAATCAAATTGTCATCAAGTTTCTGCAATGCAAAGAACAGAAAGAGTCGGGTGGTGACGAAAAGGTTACAGAATCAAAGATGGCAGAGAGAAGCATACAGGAAATCTATAGGTAATGAATTATTTCACTGCCAATTCCCCCTTGGCAAATTCCACTGAGTCTTCTTGAGGGAGTAATAATAGAAAACAAACTCTCAGCGATTTGAAGTCTCACCAGTTTACACTGACTCCAGTTCTCGATCTCCTCTGAGCCCTTCCAGTCTGGATGCAAAAGCAACAGCACAGCCTTAATTATGTCGTGTAGCAGAGCTGGGGGTTCTGCACAGCTCTTTACTCCAGCAAAGCTCTCGGCACCGAGTTTCCGGACACACTCGCGCAGGTCCTGCAGCATGAACCGCTGGAACAGAAACCCCGGGTGCCTCACCTTTGCCACCCGTTCTGCCTCTGCAATGAAAAACAAACCCCCCACGAAGTTGCTCAGAAACATCTGCTACTCAAGACTTACATTATTGACTGACGAGCCCTGCCCTCTTTGTGATTAACTGTTTGCCTCCTTGATTGATTTGTTTACAGCCCAAGTATCCTACCAAGCTTTAAAAATGGATATGTGCTTGAGAAGGGACAACACAGAGGAAGCAGAGGTCCTGAGACCATGAAGGGTTCAGGCCTGCAGACAATTCTGTGACATTCAAATTCTTTTGCTCTTAGTCAGAGCAGTTCTGAGGGGGACAGGCTAGATCCCTGAGGGTGACAAGGCACCTTGCTTCACACCTCTGATTTCAGCACAAAGTACCCTGTGAACCAGAGTTAAAATCTAACCATTCTGTTTAACTGTGCTCCACTAAGCTCTTAGGCTTACTCAGAAGTTGTTTACATAAACCAAAGATTTGTATTTGTCTTTCCATACTTGTAGGAAAGATACCTTAGATGTGATTTTACTGAGATTCCTAATTTCACTCCTAAAAAACCCTATCTTGTCTCTGTATGCACAATACCCAGCACATAGGTTGGTTCTGTTTCCTCTAGAGACCTCCACAGGATCTCCAAGCAGGCGGCTTGGACCATCTTTAGCATTTTCTGCAGGTCTTTCTGTTCCTGAGGTGGTAATTTCTTGTGGTGCCCAATGCTGATATCAAATATGCCAAGAGCTTGTCTTGATAGGTCTTGGAGAGGTACTGCAATGTGCTGTTCTCCACGGACAGCAGTGAGAGCGGCCTCTAAACTGTCTGTGCACCTAAACAGGTAATCCCTGAAATAAAACGTACTAGATTTTATCATTCTGGTTTCTTTTGGTAATTTACTTAGCATATTTTAATAAGATGCCATTCATCTCTCACTGCTAAGGGTATTACATTACTAAATCATAGGTTATTTCCTTGAGCTGAGATATGCACAGCTCTAAGTATCATTCCAGCCAAAGGAGAAAATAGCACTGGGAACACATATTGCTTAGCCAAGGTGACTGCTGAAAATCCTAAATATTTAACAAACCTTGCTTTAAAAACAGTTTTCTGTTTATAAGTGCAGTGACAATATAAATCTATAGAGTTTTATAAAAATTAAAAACAGCTGCTGGAACAGCAAATAGCTGTTCAAGCAACTTTGACCACAGGGATGATATGCTTGAAAGACAAGTCTGTGAGGATCTTGACAGTGGAAGGAAACAGTCAGCTGAAGGAAATGAGACTAATGTGGCCAGGAAAGGGGACAGATTAATCTAAAGAGCAAAATGGTTCAGTGTAGGCTTTAATCCTGCAAACCTTGGCAGCTCAGCTACTAAGTATTAAATCAGAAGTTGTTTTTGGAAGCCTAAACTCAAAGAGAAAATACCCCTCACAGTTCAGTGTCACGTGTGTACACACCAGGAGCCTTGATAGTGACAGAGCTACAGCCAGACACTGTCACAGGGTTGCACTACCAGGGGCTTTGTGCAACATGGATCATGCCTGATGTAGGCTGAGTCTAAGAGCAGAGGGGGCTATTCCTACTCTGGCCACTGGAGCCTACCTTAGCAGGTTTTCTTCTCTGAGGAGAAGAGCAGGAGAGCTATGGATTTCTTTTTGTCCTGTGTTATCTGTAGTGATCATCTTGCACAGAGCCTGCCAGAGAGAAAAGAGAGGTTTAGCTGCATCCAAGAAAGGAACAGATATTTTGAAGTTTGGAGGGAGAGGAAATGGCTTATTTCTTATAGGAAACTCCTATGTACGTTCAAGGGGTGGTTTAAAGACATCTCCCAACAATGCCTGGTTTTATTCCCACACTGTATCACTCAAGATACATGAAGAATGTGCCCTGAACCTCCCTCAGCCAGACTATTTAATCCACCCCCAGGCTCCACACTGAGGAACACCCACAGACCTAGAGGCTTCCATTCTTTTTCCCATCCTTTCTCATGTCATGTTTGTGTCAGTGTGCCTTGGCACGTGAAAGGCACAGAGGGGAGTGAGTGACCTGGCTATCAGGAAGCTAACAAGGGAACAGTGCCGAGCCTGGAATGACAACAGAACACTGCCAACATAAACCATGCTTATCAGAGGAAGCAGCTGAATTATGGCTACAGCAGATGACATACTGACTTTGGGATGACATGGGATCGGTCCTAAATATTGCATACACTTTTCTGCTTCTTAACTCACTGGTACATGAAGTGACAAGCTTCCCAGGGCCTGAGTGCCTGCTGAACAACTGGAATCTGACCTGCACGGAGTGGGGGCTGCCTTTACAAGCTGCCTAATTGGGAATCAGCCACTTCCTGAGCTGTATTTACATCTTGGCTGCTGACATTAGTTCAGACCAAAGAGCTAATACATTAGCTGAAACGTTCTTTTTTCCCTATAAAGTACCATAACTCTGACATGCAGAGAATCTCCACAGAAGAGCATCTCCCTTTGTGGAGGTTCCAGACAGCAAAGCTATGGATGGATGGATGGGTGTGGGGTTTTGCTCTATGCAGCAGTGAGCACTGAGGTAGGAGAATATTCCCTTTTCCCATGGAGAAGGGTCTATACTAGCACTGCTCTTGAATTGTTTTACATGGGAAGATGGAAAGAATGAAGAAGGATCTCCTTTATAGAGGGAAACTTCCTTCTCTACCTTTGTAGCCCTTTTGTTGCATGGGCAGGCACAAGAATCTTGGGCAGGCTTCAGTTTTAACAATAAAACCATTGGGAAAACACAGGCATTAGGGCTGGCACATCTTCCTTAAGCAGCCTTTCAGCCCCTGACAATTACAGACCTTTTCTCTGCAGTACCTTGTCTTTGGCAGGCTCCACCAGGTACATGGTGACGGTGTGGATGCTGGGTGTCCTGGGATACAACCAGCCCAGAGCATAAACAGCCATTTGTAGGACATTTTCCCGTGTGCAGATATGGTGGTAGGCTTTGCTGAATGCATGGGAAACTCCCTGTGAAAGCAGAATCCTCCATATGAGCCAGACAATTCCACAAGATTTGGGGGAAAAAAGCTAGGGAAGTGTTCATGAAGCAAAATGGTTGTAAGAAGTTACTTTAATCTGAACTTGTAGAGCTGAAAAGTGACTGTGAAATGTCCTTTATCAAATAATGCTCTAAATATTCCCAGTACCAGGTCACAGCCAAGTGACTGGTAAGTCCTAAACTAGATTAGCCGTTTTTTAGTGGAAGTAGCCAAATGGACTGGTAAGGCTGGCTTGCTGCGCTCCCTGCTGTCCAGACGATGCACCCGCACTGAGGTTGATTCCAAAGAGCATCCCAAAGAAATCCGGGCTGCTGTTGCTTACTGTTATTCCACCACGTAAAAAGTAAGGTTTCACACCACTTTATGGAAATGAACACAAAAATGAGGTCGAGAGCTTCAAGAAATAAAATCTGCTATCTTTGGGCTTTGCACAAAAGGACAATTAATTTACTAGTCAGGAGAAGATTAAATAAATTCCTGATGAAGTGATAGCTCAGTCGGTTTCAGGTAAGACACTATTAAGGTGTCCTGCTCACACCACTTTCCCCCTATACTGCAGAAAGGGACCAATAGATCTTTTCTTAGTTGTACATCTTACGTTTACTCAGAACAAACATGTAAAAATCACAAGTTTTTTGCAGATTGGTCTAAGAAACTGCTTTCTGATGGTGCCCACCTGGTAGAAAATGATCTCATGGGTCAGAAAGATGGTTTTGTCACACTGGTCCCGAAGAGTGTCAAGTCCTAGAATGCCAAAGACTCTCCAGTGAGCATCATACAGGGGCAGCACCAGGAGGGAACCTTTCCTCTCCTCCACTGGGCGCTCAGAGTTCCAGAAATGGATATTTCCGTGGAGCTGAACTCTTGGAACATGGATTGGCTTTCCTTCATCAACAGCTGCAAAGCTGAAAAATAAATTTATGAGGAGGTTTGTTGGGAGGAGCAGAAAGCCTTTAGTGAAACAGTAAATACTGCAGAGCTTTGATCTCTCCCTGCTTTTTGGCATCAGAGGAGGAAGGTGTGAGCTCTGCACTTTGACCACACCCAGCAATACCACATTTACCACTTGTATCCGAAAGATAGTGGTAATAAATAAGTCACTCTTCATCCTTAGGACATTTTAAAACATCAGCTAATGAATGGAATGAAAAGGAATACAGAAGCAAGCAGCAGTTACATTTAATAGGTTAGAAGCAGCAATATTTAAAGAGACAAGTATGTCTGGCTTTTGGAAATGACAAGTGAAGAGGCATGAAAGCTGTTTATAGCATAAACACTAGGGAGGGAAAGGCATTGTTCTAAAAAAATATCCTGTGGATATAAAATTGTGTATGGGAATTAATTTTTAAAGAAGGAAATGTAGGCCCAATGCCACAGACATTTGCTAAAGGATGAGATTCTTTAGACTGTGAGCTAATATCCCCAAGGGAAGGAGTGAAATCCCAAACAGAGCAGTTCTAAGAAGACCGTGCAGAGTATAGGACGTTTATAGGATATTGGATCCTTCCACAACAGTCTCTCAGGAGATTTCCTCTCTGGAGTACTCCATGACCCTCAGTTTCCAGTGCATCCCAAACACTGCCCAGTACCCCTACATTCCAAATAGTTTTGAGAAAAAGGACCACTTTTTTCAGCTTTTCTTACCTTATTCCTTTCATGTGTCTGTGAAGTGTCTGGTTCAGGACATGCGGAGCATCGTCCGCAGTACAGGCCACGTAGCGCAGGAGAACCTGGCCCTGGCCCTGCTCTGCTGGGAGCTGGTTCTCTTCCAAAAGGGCAATGTAGGCACTGATCTTCTTGTTACCCCCATGGGCTTCTGCATCCTAGCAACCAAATGTTTCCCATTACATTATGGGCATTAGCCACTGACCACTGCACTTATTTCATGTCCTTAGCACTTGTCTCTTTTGTGCCGAGGTGCTGCTCTGGGTCACTGAGTGTGTGTGTCACACCCCCCCAGCGTGACGTGGCCGTGTCTGCCCAGAGCACTCCGTGACAAGCAAAAACACTCGGTATTTTGATTGGCAAGGAAAATGGATTTCTTGTTTCCTGCTCTTAATGGGGAGAAGTAAATAATATAAAAATAATCCCTTACTATAATCCCTAAGCAAAAGTCCTGTGGATTTCTTCCCTAATAGGAGATTTCTTTGGGGAAAAAAACCACAAACAAGTGCCAGAGTTGCCACATTTACAAACCTAGACAATACTAGAAGAACACTTCAGAGAGAAGTTTGGCTTTGAGGGGGGCTTTAATAGTGAGGACAAACAGCTAAAGTTGCAGCTGTAAGTTAAAAATGAAAATATTTCCACTACAAATTAACCATCTTTGTCCCAAACTGACTCTGGTGTGTTTCATTTCAGAAGCTCTAAAACTATAACTATGGATTTCCAGATCTGATCTGAGTCAGTTCTTCCAAATTGAGATATAAGTTTTCATGAGATTCCTTCTGTATTGGCATAGCAAGGACAAGAATCCTTGCATTGCTGATCTATCAGTGACCCTTTCTGTGCATAACCACAGGCTCTCCTGAACATCAGCTAAGTATAGGAAAGCACAAGGAAACAGCCTCAGAGCAGCTTCCCAGGCTACCTGCGAGTTCCACTCAATTCCAGGGTTTGGAATCAGTGTCCCGACCGAACACAAGCACCTCTTGTGCTCCCTGGGATGCCCACCTGGGAGATGGCCTTAAGCACTGCTTTGTACACCGATTCCATCCTTGCTCCGCCGCTCTCAGCCGCTTGCTGGATATCCTGCAGCCATTTCCTCCTGGTTAAGCTTTGCAAGGACTCCCTATGACTTTGCTCCACACTTGTGGTCAGAAATCTCACCAAGTTATCAATAGATTCATCCTCATTGCCAGTTAACTCAGAAGCAATTAACTCAAGGAAGGTCTGGAATACCTTTGGGGATACCATCTCCACTCTGCTGAGCTGGGGGTATCGGGAGCAAAGGTGTGCCTTTGCTAGTAGAAAAAAAAAAACACAAAACAACAGAAAATAAGACAGACAATCTAGTTGATTAATCAGTTTTGCAGAATATTAATCAAGCTCTAAACTGTCTTTGGATGGGGTGTTCTAGTCTATTGTTCTGGGTTTCTTTCAGCTGTCTCCTAAATGGAGGTTGTCACAGTGACAGGTAATCTCCAGCTTCCACACTGGATTCCTCCTTTCCTCTGGACGCCTGCTTTCCCTCCTAGTGAGAAGGAACCCTGCACAGCACTGGTTTCTACCCAGGTGTTGGTTAAATCAGCGGCCGGTCTGTCCGAGCTGTCCCAGCCCTGCGCAGGCTCTCCCCAGCCCCGGCTCTGGGCTCACGGGGGTGCTCTTGCACAGCCTGAGGAAGGTGCAGGCGCCTGCCTGGCTTCGGGATTCACGGGAGCTCTTCCATCATTTTTTCTGCATCCTGATTTCAAATCCTGTTGGACCCGAAGATGTCCCTGGTCATGGCAGGGGGCTGGACTAGATGACCTTTGAAGGTCCTTTCCAACCCAAACCATTCTATCATTATTATCACCGATTTCAGCTGTAGAAGTAGCAAGTACTAACTGGCCCAGTCATGGTGGAGCTGCCTGTTAATGCTGTCTTATCCAGCTCATCATCTAAAGAACATTCAGTATTCTTAATTTAATTTCTGATTTTCTGACAGAACTAGGATGGGGAATTTTTTGATGGTATAAAAATATTTGGATATTCACCTCCTCTTTCTCCTCTCTTTACAGAAAAGATGAAGAAAGAAATATGCATGAAGTTGAATGCAGTATGATCACTTCCTTCACTACTGAGCCACAGCATAATGCATAATTTTCCCCATTATATCTAATGTTACACTTTTCATTTACAAGGAAAATGAAATAATTCTACTCACTCTTCACTCTATTTCCATCCAGGAGCAATGCAACGTCTGTGAACCCTCCCCCCAGACCTGCTTGTTCCATGTCTTTGAGAGATTAGGTTGAAGCTGCTAGAAATAGTTTTATGTTGCTGGTATTGATTTTGCTATGCTCTCTTTCTATTTATTTGTCCTTTAGTTTATGAGCCCTTCATGGAAGGGACTATGTCCTTCCATATTTTCATAGTCTGTTCTGGCATGCTTTGAATACAAGAGAGCAGTAAAGTGCCAGTTTTTCCTGGCTGGACAGACAGTCATCAAACATGACAGGTCGCTGTGCTCCCCACCCCACCAGTGAGCTAAATGATAAACAGGTTTTGGTGCTTGCCAAAACAAGCCATTTTTAGTGATCTGCAGCAGAACAAGCAGCATGAAGATGAGCATGGAGATGAAAAAAACAGTCCTCTCCACCCAAGCACACATGCAGACATGTTCTTAATTGCTAACACAGTATTTCAGAACACCTTATACCCACTTGTTAATATGCATGAGGCTGCCAGACAGGTTCAGGTGAACCTGCAGTGCTTCTGTCTGACCCAAGTCTATTTTGTCAAGGACCAAATTTGCTAAGTTTATTCAGAGAAATGAACCAACAGAGAAGGGAGACTCGAAGTTGCTAATTCATGAGAGCTGTGTGACAGTGTGGATTACTATGAGCTATTTGAGACTCATGAGGAAAGCTGTTCTCTCCTATGAGGTACATTCCTGCAGCAAGCACAGTAAAATGTATCTATTAAAAATAGCTGGATAACCCAGATGGACTAGACTAAAAGTGCAAACATGTCCTCAGGCTTTACGTGTGTTTTTCACTGCCATATCACATGTATACATTGCATGTTACGGCTGAAATAAGTGTTCAACACATCCCAGTGTCATGAAAGCACTGAGCTACTTCTCTGCCTGGGAGTCTTGCACAGAAGGAGGAGATGGAGCTGTGCATTAACAAGCAGGTCTGGGTAACTGTTCCTTTTCATTTTACAGCTCATACCATGTATGCTTATGACTGCTTGCAAAACCAAACTGGTGCTTGCCAGCAACCTCACTAGCACCATCATTGAATGGTTGAAGGTCTGCTGGGTTGTTCTCCCAGAGCAGAGCTGTCTCCTTACCCTTCATCAATGCCTCTTTTTTCATGCCTCCCATGAATTTGCTCAGAACAGCATCCACCTCTTCCAGGTCCAGAAACCCATGTCCATTGCTGTCCCACTTTTCAAAAAGTGCCTCCAAAAGCAGTTTCTGTTGGGCCGCCCGAGCCATGTGGTGAACCTGCAACAGAGGAACAGCTGGTCTTGGGTAACTCTTGGGTAACTCCTGGACACTGATGCTGGGTGTCTACACAGTGTGGGCACTGCAGTGCTGTGCCACTCACATCATTCCTATGGACCAGGCCAAATCTGTACATACACGGCTCAGACCTGCAGATGAATCATTAAACCTGGGAGATACTTAGAAACACTAAACACAGGTGACAGTTCAGTTTACCAGGCTGGACCAGCACTGCAGAGAGTTATTTCACAGGGAACAAATGAAGCCTGTGCTGGATTTAAGGTAAGGTCAACTGAGGTAAATGCAAGTTTCCCAGAATACAAATGTCTCCCTAGCAAGAACTAACCACAGCCTTGTCAGTGACACCCAGAGATGTGACAGTTTGTATTTCTGTACATTGTTATTTTGCTGGTGCTGCCCTGAAGTGTGTGGGCTACAAGCAAATGCATGTACCATTTGTCCTCTAAACCCAGCACAGAGGGATAACTGGCTGGAGTGGAATCCTCTCAAAGGCCAAAATACTGGCAGTGTGTGCTGTGTTCAGTGAGGACTGGAGAGCCGTCAGATCCAATATCTCATTCAAATTAGGTCAGCAGCACAGAGGGAAACCAGAAGGAGGTCTGAGGAAAACACAGCTAGAAAGACTCACAGAGAGACACACAACAGACCTGAAGTGATATGGGGCACCCTGATGCTGTGCAGGAGGAAGGGGAATTTTTTTTTCAACACATGGCAAGAGCACCTTGTAACTTAAGCACAGAGAAGCATATGCACACTAACACCCAGCCATGCACATAGCAGACCCAAACACACTTGTTTTAAAATCCTCCCCAAACATCCACAACCTCCTGTGTACATGCCAATGCAGTAGGTCAGAGATCAGGTTCTTGGCTATTATAAAGGTGAATAAGCAGAATGGAATGTTTTGGGCTCTTTCACAATTAACTATCAACTGTTGTCTCACTGAGTCCGGCTCTAGGACAGACAGACAGCCTCTTACAGGATGAGTCTGTCATCACTTCCAGAGCTGAGGGCTAGGGAGGGAGCATCTGTATGAAAACAAAGGGGTCAAAGGTTTCCTGAAGAAATAGGGGATGCAAGACTGCAAGCAGAGAACTCTGCCAGTGTGAGATTAACAGTTGACTTTGTAAGTGTCTGTAGGCATTTGCTTGTTTTTTGTTTGGACACGGGATCAGCAAAACTTATCAATATTTACTTTTTCTAGTTGTTCCATTTTTTCCTCCTCTGTCTGCTTGTACTCTTCTTTGATAAATGCAATAAGCCTCTTCACAGTAGGCAGAGAACTATCTTGGCCAACAAACGTCTCCATGAGCTGTACAAACTGTGGCTGGGTGAGGCAGCTTGCACTGAAGGAACTCTGAGTACAAGAAGCCCGATGGTTCTGAATCTGTGCCATGCTGGGACCTGAGTCTGAAAGGCAGAAAGCACAGTGTGTCACAGAAAGCCAAACGCTGCCCTAAAGCCAGGCACGTGGCAGCTATCAACTCACTCCTCAATCCTGCACTTCCTATCCAGGGAAATTACAGCTGAATCCAGACTGACTCCATGCTGAGTAAAGGCCTTAATCTGCTTATACTGTTCTAATAGTAGCTCTTCAGAGCCAGTCTGGCATGGATGCCAATGTACAGCCAGGTCAACCTCTGAACACAGGTGAGCTGAAATTCCTGTTACTCAGCAAGGGGCTGTCTGAGACAAAGACTATCTGAGGTACTGCATGTGCCAAACAATGCAGGATGCACATCCTGCATAACACTGGAAGTTAACTCAGAAAGCTGTAGGTACCAGTGGGCTGTACCATCAGATTTACAACCCTTTACATAATAAGTCTGTCACTAGATTGCTTGGGCAACGTAGACCCAGTTCTTGCAGTTTTCTAAACTGTGAGACATAAGAGAGTGTTCACAGAGCACTGGCAAGGAGGTTGGTCCTTCTCGGATGTTTAAGAAAGTACCTCTTTGAAACACACAGCTGCCTGATCACAGCCTTCCTGGAACAAGGGCCTTTGTACACAATGAAGTATGATCATCCTTTGGAAACACAGTGAGAGATTAAAATAAAAGGTTTCTGCTATATGATCTCATATCATATCTCCCTATGGGCAATAACAGGCTAAAAATTATTAAAGTCATTTCTAGATTTAACATGCTCAGGTTCCTGTCTTGCTACAGTAATATTACAGAGTGAAACAGAACATAAAGTTTCTCCTTATTATAAAAATGCTGCTGCTTCACAAAGTCCCTACTTGAATTAAAGTGTCTGCTCAGTGCCTTGAATACAGATCACCAGCAAAGTGACTCACCTGCCATCCTGTGAGAGGAACATGCTCTGAAACCTTGGCAGAAAACACCATGCTGAGAAGATATCAAAGCTTATGGTCTTCTCTACTCAGAAAGCACTCACATGGTTTTGAAATGGATTTAAAATAGCCTATAGTTAAACTAGTCCAAATGTATACATTGAAAAAGATTAAGGTCTGCCAGAATAAAGGAGAATGTCTTTACCCTGCTCACGCAGAAGGTTGTCATCCTGCAGCCTTGTCTCGGAGCTTGTCTGTTGGTCAAACTGGCTGCTATGCTGCCTTGAAAAACTCCCTTTTCCTGCAGGGGTTTCTTCCACAGCCTCTGCAGCTGGAGCACCCTGTTCTGAGCCAGTGACATCCATGTCTGCCACATCTGTGTCTCCTTCACTTTTTACTTCCATCTCAGGCTCTCTACCCAGGCTGGATTCCTCTTCCTCCACCTGTTTTTCAGGTCCAGGTTCTCCATCCCTACTGAGATTGTATCCATCAGAGGCTGATCCTGGGAAAGCTTCAGCCTGTCTCTCTGCACTTCCAGGCTCAGCTTCCTTCTCAGTTTTGATGTCTTCCTGGGAGCTGGGTTCCTCACTGTGTGTGGTATCTCCATCCAAATCACCAGCCTCAAATCCAGTGCCTTTCACCTCTGACACAGCATCCTCACCTTCCTCGCTCACTTCAGCATCACTCGGCTCTGCTGCTTGGTCATCAAGGCCTCCCCATAAATCCACAAGATCAATCTCTTGCAACTTAATTATTGGCCCTAGAATAGAAAAAAATATGGGTAAGTTGATAGTTTGCATTGGTATTATGTTCTCTAGAATTGCACAAGAAAATTGAAACAAAAAAGATACTGCCAAGCAAATACAAACTATCAGAAGGTACCTTCTGCAAACACACGTCTCTGAAACACAAAACTTCAGAATAATGTCTTTGCCTGCAGAGATCTGCATTTCTTGCTGTTTATTACACTACATTTCTTTTGAAATAAATGTTTCATAATTCTCCCTATTAAGAAGGAGACCTGTAACTTGCCCTGCATTTGATCTTAGCAATTAATTAATGTCCAATATCTTAAAAATATTTTACTTTCATGCAGATGATCCCCCGTGTTTTTTCTTTATCTTTCCATGTGCCTGGAGAAACTTTAGTGCAAACACAAAATTAACTTCTAACATTGCCCAGTAAGAGAGAACATTTGTTTCAGTAAAAGTCTCTCTTTAATCCTGAAGTACTTCTGACTTTTGTATGAAGGAAAACTCTTGGATGCTGAAGCATTTCTGAACGTTGCGTCACAGTTTGCAAAACATGTTTGCAAATTATGGTGGGTCACAGCATTCATTTGGGTCCTTTTTTGGGCCCTGTTCACTTCCAGTAACACTTATAAAACATATATGAACTGTCCAGCCCTGTGTGACCTCCTAGTGTTTTAACCACAACCAAAACTTCCCAGGTACTCACACTGTCTGGGGTTCCACAATTCCCTCTTGTCAGCCACGGGGCTTCTGTCATAGAACTCCCTCAGCAGGGCCAGTATTTTTTGTCTATCCAAGACACCAACCTAGTCAAAAAGATTATAATTATTGGGTTTTTCCTGTGGTTCTTGGGTCTTACATCAACATTTGCAGCACTACAAAGGCACCATTAGCTAAGAATTACCTGTGACTGAAAATCACCCATTACCAGAACACGACTACAGATTTCAAAGAAGCAAATTTATTTCATAGAGGCAAAAACTTCTTCTCTGGGCTCAGCTGGAACTCCCTCCCCACACATATTACTTTGCAGGCACTTCCTTGACAAATTACAGTTAGATAATTGTAGCTGTTCTGCCAAAGGGGTTCTTCATGTAAAGATCAAAGCTTCAACATTTCATACTCTCAGGACAGATATTGATTGCCTGACAGCACCATGGAAGAATTTTCACCTATTATGGGCTGTATTACCTTAGTGACTGCACACTGTAGTTTGCTTTTATGCCCCATCATCTCCTTTGAAGATTGATGTATTGGCAGCTGCCTGGGAACATAATTAGTCCAAAAATCCAAGCTATTATGACAACCTCCCTAATTTCCTTTAAAAATTCATAGACATTTGACCAGAGAGGTGAGAGAGGCATCAGCAGTTCCAGTGCAGAGGAACGTGCAGAGTTTATTAAGTCCTTGTTGCTCAGAGTGAGTGTACACAGACGATAAACCCAGAAAAAGGCAATGAAACGGGTCATTTCCAACCAGGAAATTGTGGGTTTAAAAAAGTAAAGCAAATCTAAGCGATTGCAAGTTTTCCATTTTATGATGAATTCCTGTTGTCATTGTTTAAGTCCTGCCACCTTTGTAATCTCCCTCCCATTAGTGAAATAAAGTAGTTAATTAGGGAACAGATTTACTTAAGTTCATTATTTGTAGCGAGTAGCTTTCCATCTGAATTATTGATTTCCTTTTCACGTTTTGTTCTTAGATTAAAACCTGCAAAATGGAAAATTCACCAGGCTTTTAATTCCTTGTGAACTTTACCTGCCCTTAGGCTGAAGAAATAAAGGAAGAACTTTGCTGATCTTTTCTGGAAATGAGCTCAAGATGACTGCATTGTTTATAACCTAAATCTGTAATTAATGGCACCAAAAGTTAGAAACAGAAGGTTTGGAAACAACTGAGAGATACACATCACCTACTGGTGAAGTTAATACTGGAACTAAACAATTACATCACATTTGCTGGTACTGCAGGACCTTCCTCTACAGGGAACTGAAAGTTTATTGCCAATTCTGAAGAAAGGACCTGAACTGAAATGTAAGAAGCCATTCAGTCCAGTTTTAGTGTTTGAGATTCTGCTAATTTCATTCCTGCTGGTAAAAAAATGCTGGAAATTAGGGTTGAATTTCAGCCATCAGTGTGTTTGGAACAACAAATGTCATCACAGAATTCTGTCCCTAAACTTACAAGATGTAGGCCCTGATTCCCAGTATCTTCATCTTCCTGACATTAACATACAAATACCTTGCACACCCCCATGCAAACATTTCTTCATGCTATTTGTCTTTCAATTGAATATATCAGATCTGGTTCTCATCCATTTAGTAGCCACACAAACACAGCACATGTTTTTGAAGACGTTACCAGATCACTGTGGAATATTTGGATTCTCCATTCAGTATTTCCATTACACACACTTAATTTTCCATTCAAATTTTCTCAGCTGTTACTTGTCACAATCATCTGCTGGTTGCCTTGAAGTTGGCAGCACTAATGCAAAACTTTATTTTATGAAAAAGGGGAATCAATAAATGAAGTATTATTCTTATTAAGAATATAACAAATATTAAGAAAATTATGAAGTACCATTAAGATGAAAATAAGGATGTTGTCTTGGGATTCAGATGCACTTTTTTGTTATACTAAAATAATACACTTGGAGGATTTAGATAACTCAGATTTTTGAAGAGATTTTTTTGAGATTTGGATCAAATAACTTTATTTTAATATATTGTTTAAAAGAGATATAAAAATAGATAAAACAGCTGAAATTACCAAATATGAATTAGGTCATATTTCCTTGGTTTAGCATTCACAGTTTATACAGATTTGCCACTCTACCAGAGGTCCCTGTTATTTCAGGACACTTTTCCTTACAACTCACCCTGGGAGGAAGATGCCACAGTACATCTATAGAAGAGAGAAGCGTTTTAACAGAAAGCTCCTCTCCCCAGCTGTGCTGTCTTTCTGAGTTCCTGTATTTACTAGCAAAGGGGACTTTTCTTTGTGCTTCCTGTGTGACTGGGGAGGCTGACTGAAGGTTCCTGCCTGTCCACCCTTTGTACTGCACCTCGTGAGCAGGACAGGTCCAGCCTCCCCTCTCAGCCCCAGAGGAACACCTGTGTTTGTACAGCCACCCAAAACTTGGGGCAGCTTTAGTGCCCAGGAGTTGAAACGTGTTGGCCTCATTTTCTTGTCACCCAGATATTGGCAGGTGATGATTCTCAGTTGTTTTCAGCAATGTTCTGTGACCTATGAGTAATTCCTTTAGCAACACAGACTAAACCAGACTTGCCATTTAATCAGGGATAGGTCAGTGTTTAACCACTCGATTGTTTTTCTGGAAATGTGATGTGTGTATCCTGATCCCCACAGTGTGCTTGTTCGTGAGCAAGATGGGAAGAGCAGACACTCAGAAAAGGTCATGAGAAAGCAGACTTTGTCGTTGCTGTTCTGAAAGAAAGGTAATCAGGAGTGTCTCAGACGTCATTAGCTTGAAAACTAATCTCTGACCAAATTCAGTTTCATTTAAAGGTCTCAGGCTTAAAACATCCCTGAAAATTAATGTAGATTCTGTTATAATACATAAAAGAAACTATACCTGATACAAGTGAGCACAGATACAATAAGCTTAAAATTCACAGAGCCATTGCCTTTTGGGGTATTACAGCAGTGATCCAACTGTGTTGTGGGATTGTCTGGGGAAGTTTCTGCCTCAGTGTATAGTCCAGGCTGTCCTTGTTGAGCTGCCATCCTTCTGGATGCATTCGTTTGAAATCATAATAATGATCATGTGGATACCTTCTAATTTGACTGTAATTTAAACGCTGCTTTCTCAGCTCCCTGGCCTTAATTGCAGCTCATTGAGGCAGCCAGCCACACTCCCCATGCAGACTAGAATAACTGCCTGCTACCAAACAAATGGAAATTAGGAACTGAAACAACTGCTTTGCTGTGCTTTGCAGAATGGGCTCTACAGGTAATGGATCCCATTCAAGTGGTAGAAGTCCTTGGGTTACTTTGCATTTTTATCTCCCCTATGGGTACAGTAGAGCCATACAAAAGAAACCAGGCCAGGTTTAAAAAGAACTGTGTGGCCTACACGACACTTCAGTGAACTCAATTTGCAGAGCAAGGCTACCTTGGAGTCTGGAAAGAAAAACTCTGTGCTCTGACCAGTTTTTTTTTGGGCACAGATGGTGTTGGTGCTGATAGCTGCTCTCTCATGTTGTGTTAGTATTTTTGGCTCTTTGCCTCTGAGATTCCACTGGGATTAGTAGCATGGAGATGGTGATTACTGCCACAGAAATAATAGGACGAAAGTCACATTAAAAGATGAAAGGAAAGAAGGGGTCTTTTCAAAATGCATGGCAAGGATAGGACTGGGCTTTATGTATCACTGTAGCCAGGAGGATTCATCACAGCCATTCTGACAGAGCCGTAGGAAAATGAAATGTCTTCTAGCTGGGAAGCAGACACATTTCTTTCCTCATGCCTGAAACAGCAGCTTGCCTGCTATTCTTTAAAACACTCCATTGGTGTTGAAACGAGCTCTGTAATTCCTTTCTCTTGGCAGTAATGACATTATTAGCATGACACTGTAGAGCACAGTTCACTCTGGGTAGCTCTCTGCAAGCAGCACTAGAGGAGTGCTGGGTGGAATATATAATTTCTGTAGGGGAGGAAACTGTAAGATTATGGCATCTGCTTGCTCTGTAGTAGCCAGCAACTGGCAAGCTGAGGCTACTCATAACAAGTACCACACTTTTTGGATGAAGCCCAAGTTTTTAGCAATAGTTTATGCCATTGATTCTTCAGCTTCTACAATTTACTGGTTTTCTAACAAGTCTAGCTTTTTTGTTTGTTTTTTAAGGGGATGCAGGTGTACTCAGAGGATGACAGAGATCAGAGCTGCTGAAAACCAAATTATGGCTTTTGAGTTCCATTTCCAGCTCTGTAACTGACTTACTGTATTTTAATTTCCTGTCCATAAACTGTGACTGAAGTTCACAGCACTGTTCACAGAGAGACTGTAAAGGTGGATTATTTTGCACTTTAAATTTAAACTATGAGATTTATTGATAGAAGCCCTAAAGATCTATAAAGTTAGGCAACATAATGAATGCAATATATGTTATAATTGAAGTAATGTGCACATTTGTTAAGGTCAATCTACATCAGGTTATCTTTGCTGAAACATGGCTGAATAGATAAATTAGACCCAGTTCTGAACTGTGCTGTGGGAGCAGGTAATCCCATTAGGTCATTCACTTTCTAATTAGCCATCAGCTTATAGGCAATTGGATGTTTCTGTCTCTAAAGTATGAATTTGAAGACAATGCTGCAGCTATTGTCCTCCAAAATACTGCTGAATAAGCACAAAAAGAGTATCTAGAGTTGGGAAGAAGAAAAAGCAAGCAGTGACCCAGAGAAATACCAGACTGGAAGCATCCTCACATTGAAATTGAGCTGCTCTGCCTACCTTTCCATAATCACAATCTTGGAAGAGATCAGTAAAATTTTGCCTCCACAGAGCTCGTTCTGTTGCTTCCTGGAAGTCCTCACCACACTGATGGAGATATTTCATGATTTCTTGGAATGTGTCACTTGAAACATGCTCTGTGTAGGAAAGGACAAACTGTGGAGAGAAAGCAGCAGTGTACACTGGTTAGCTTTTCTTCAAGTATTTTCACCTTTATTTGAACTCCTAAAAACCTATTGCATGCAATTAAATATTTAAGAACTTGTAGTTTAATCTGCCAACATAACACAGACTTGGTGCCTACTTTGTTCTTCCTTTCAGAAGAAACAATATTCTCCTAACCAGCCTGGGACACTGCACAAATGCCTCCTCAATAGCTCCTTTCCTGGCCCAGAGGTCACTTATTATGCTCAGCGTTCAGAGATGCTGGATCAGATCCCTCCTATGGAATGCCATGGCTCAAGCTTGGTATTCTCTGGGAGGATTTAAGTTCTCCACGTTTTTTTGCAGCATTTAGTATTCTTTACTCCCAAGGAGGCATTTTGAGCCATTAGATTTTGCAGAACTGACAGTCACTCAACTCTCAAATGCCACAAAATGAGCATTGCCCACAATTTCAGTGTTTAGAGAACCAGTCTGGATACAATAAAAACATGAAAAATCCTTTTGAAAATGAGCCTACTGTCACCTAAGTCCTCTGACACTGGGAATACTACTGACTGGAGATTGATTTTAAGTTCCAGCCTTGGAGACACTTTAACACTTTGGATTTATAGCCATGTGGCTTTTATGAGCAAAAGCAATATGGTTCTAAAAATGTGGTGTGCATGACATAAATAATAATGGCCATCAGAACAAACCACAATCCCAAAGCCTGGGCTGAATTATTATAACAGGTTTCTGGAGCCAGCCACACTAACAGGGAACTCATACAGTTAAAAGGAGGAATTTCCAAAACACAGCCCAATTTTAGAGTATGGGTATCTAATATGAGTGCTACAACATCTTGGACTTGTTGAAGTGCCTCACAGGCATTAACAAACTGAAATATTAATATATGTTATAATTATTCATGTCTATATTGCATAATTTCCAAATATATGGGACAAGTGGAAAAGAGGAAGAGCAGAAAAAAAAGCAGTGGCCTGAGGGGTGGCTGGTGGGAAAGCAGAACTCCTACACAATGTGGGGGGTTTCTGCTTGCAGCATAAAAAGACAGGATGTAGGTGGTTGGAGAGAAGGTGGGGCCGTGGGCATCCACCAGCTTTCCAGAGCTGTTACAACCCAAAGCCCTGTGACAGAGGAACCTTGAAGGTGACAGCTGATGGGAGGAGGCAGGTTGGACAAGCAGCTTGTTATTTTGGATGTCATGCTGATGACACATCCAAGGGCTCCTGCACTAACACTGCTGTCTACCAGCATCACAGGACATTGTTTACAAGTGCCATGTGGGCAGCAGGCACTATCATAGTCTTAAGCTTTTCTTAGCTGATGTGCAAAGTACTGTACACATAATAAACATACATTTATTTATTATTAACTGAGAGATTTTGACACCTCTCTGAAGAAAGCTGGCACGATTCCTTCTTGCTATCCAGAGACTTTGCTGTAGTTTGTGAACACGTTGTCATCAATAACAATGGATCTTTGCTTCTTGTTCCTACTGATCTCACTAGAAAATCATGGAAAATAATCTCACCTTTAAGGCCTGATTCTAACCCTGCAAAGGCAGTGTGAGTTTTTCCCTTGGTGTCAGTAGCTTTGTGCCAGACTGCTGGGGGTTTGTGTGTTATAGAGTATGAAGCCTGTGAAATAAACTATTAAGGGCTGGTCTCTGGGATTTAAATGCTTTTAATATAAAAGACCCCACGAGCTTGTCATGAAGGATGTAAAAATACAACAGCCACTGTTTTGAATGTCTGAAAAAAAAACCCCAAGCCCAACAAAAACAATGTGTGAGGTCTCTCTACTGAGTTTCTAATGGCCTTGAAGTAGCCTAAAGCTGCACTGAATTCAAGAAAGAAAAAAAAAAAGAGGCTATTTAATTTTAAGGTCCATTAAAAGCAATGCTTTCCACATGGGGAAAGGCCCGGACCAGTGTGGAGAAAGATCATCTCTCTTTCTGGGTTTGGTGGATGATGCAAAGGGAGGAACAAAGGTAAATTGTAGCTGAGGATTAGAAGCAGCCCTGTCCTAATGATGGAACAGTTCCCCAGGGAAGTGACGAAAGCCTCATCATTTGATTCAATTAAAACCGGACTGGAAGAAACATCAGAGAATATATTCTGAGAGAACACTGCTGGTAAATCAGACAGCTTGACAATCCATGTCTTTTGTGCTTCTCATCTCCGTTGTCATATCTTTAATTGAGTTAAAATAAAGAGTACACAAAACATATTTTAAACAGTTTTCTAATGCTAATGGAGCATGAATTCATTCAGAGATTATATACATGTACCATAGGTTATGGATTGATGCTTCATCGCAGTGACAAAAGCAATTCTCTGGGCTCTCATTATCCACAATCGCTTTCTTAATTAGATGCAGTAATTCTGAGGTTAAATTCAAAAATTCCTCATTTCATGCTTAAAAAACCTTCAACAAGTTATCATAAAAATGCATCTCCGTGCAAAATATTGAACATGTGAGTCTCCTGAGAGGGAAGAAGGCACAAAAATCACACATGGTTTCTTGGAAATAGTCTCTGCACAGCTGCTTTATACTCTGGTTTTAATTATTATAACAGCACCCACTAGCACTGCTGCAATGAGGGTCTGTCATTATTTCTATTCTAAACACTCCTTTTCGCAGGTTCAATTACTCAGCCATAAAATTCAGCTCTGCTGCAGGTAGAAATGGCTGGCAAAGCCTTGGCCTGGAGAATTTTCAATAAATACAGTTTGAACTGATTTGGTTGTTTTCAACTTGAGGAACAGTAGAGTAATGGGGTGAAACTTCCAACTACATTTATGATTTTGGTGACTTAAAACCACAGTTCTGATATTTCTCAATGACAGCTTTTGAGTTTAAAACTGCCTGGTTATGCTTCATGTACATTTATGACACTTGTTGAAGTTTGGTTACGGTTCAGGCCAGCGATAGTTCAGGGCAAAAATGGTAGAGCTTCTCATCCCAGTTCATCATGGTTTGGTTCTTCTCTGGTTAATGGAACCTAATCAGAAACAACCATACTGTGAGGATGTTACTGATTACCATTGGCTAATGGTTATAGTGGGACACCAAACCTCCCCTGAGCGGGTAAGGCAAAGTCTGAATTCACAAGTGATTCAAGGCTTTGGCATTTCAGAGAGGGACTGGGAGGGATGTCCTAAAAACCACTGCTCCCAGAGTAACTTCCCAGAGAGCAGCACAGGCTGCAGCTCTGAGGAAAGCAAAACACTTCCCCTTTGCTGGCCAGAATGGAAATGTGGCAGCAGAGGATGGATATGGAGATGGAACATGAAATGTCCCGATACAACCAGTTCCCTGGGATGCTGGAGAAGGGCAGCCCTTATTACTCCTCTGGGCTGTCCCCAGGGAAATGCTGCTACTTTGTGATAAACATCATATTCTGAACCAGATGCTCTTATTTCATTTCTCACCTCTGTGAACTCATCTAGCTTTAAAGTTTCTTCCAATGTGTTTAAGATTTCCAGCTTCCTGTCCTGGATTGCTGGTAAAAAAATGAAGGGATATTGGTTTAGAAAGCAACAGTTGTGATTTTGCATATTGTCCACATTTTTTGCACACTGTGCTGTTACATTAACTTTCTTCTCATCTTCTCAAACATGTTTTTGAGGTTATCCCACAGTAGCTGAAGCATCTGACTGTACAGAGACCAACCAAATCTGCTCCTTACATGTATCTCTTGCTGAGAATCTGCATTTAGCTATTCAGAACTGTAGAGTCATATTTATTCTTGACATAAGTTGGTGCAAATTGCAATGATTTTAACGGTACTTAAAACTAATTATGTGAGGGAGGAAATGAATTTTGATTTAACAAACAGATAAAACTGCCTTAGAACACTGGAGACATGGGTTCTGCTTTGCAAGAGTAGAATCTGAAAATCATAGTAATTTTCTCAAGAATATCTGTGGGAATATTTTTACTGATGATGATATTCAAAAGTATGTTTTGGTCAGCTTCTGAGCTCCTATAATGGAACTGAGAAGAGAAATCAAACATCTACATAGATTTCTGAATGAGGTCTTTGAGCACAGACATGCTATTTCTGTTGGCATCATTTTTCTCTTCTTTCTTCTACAATATATCAGGAGTAATGAGAAAATTCACCATAGAATGCATTTATCTCTTGTTGGTTAAGACATTCCTAAACTGTACATTATCTTTATTAAACTATAAACAGAGCTTAATGTTCTGTTAATGTACATTGGATGCTATTAGATGAAATGAATTAAGAAATGGAGCCACACTATTAGTGAAATAGGACAGAGAGCACCTCCAGCATCTGCAAAGCAAACATGTGGGGAGGCATTTCCTTCACAGTCTCATGTCCCAGGGTCTGTTTGCACTGTCCCACAGCAGGAGCACAGCAGGGGCTGTGTTGGCAGTCACAACATCCTACCAAGACCAGAGGAACAGATCTGTGACACGGACAGGGCTGAGCAAGGGCGAGCTCCAGGCAGAGGTGACTCCAGCAGAAATGCACTCTGGAGTGCCCTGTTTATCATCCCAAACCAGTGAAGGCAGATCTGTTTTCACTGATGATCATTACAGGCTCAGGAAAGCCTGGCAGCAGGCTCGTGGTGCCACTTCAGTGTTCCCAGCTCTATTCAATTTTCATCATTCAGGGAGGTCAAGTGTGAGCTATATAAAGTGACAGGAATTATGGAAATGTTACTGAGCCAAGTGTTCCCATCCAGAGGCCCTGGGCTGTCACTGGGATGGTCTGGGACTGGCTAAAGGAATGGCTCAATGACATGGGCTATTTTGTGGAGCATTAGGTAAACTTCAGCATTTCCCCTGAAACCATAAAAGGTAACAACTCCGTTAATATTGTTGATCCTACCTTTGCTCCATACCTCCCAGTATGCCAGTATTTCCAAGACCTCCCATGAGACAAACACTGCCTGATAGGGCAGGTGAAGGAGGAGGTTGGTTCAGTGATTCTTAAAAATAGTGATAAGTACGTGGCACCGTCTGGCTAATGCAGGATGTAAGTGGAAAGGGCCTGAATCTGGTCTTTCTATCTCCTGAAAGATTTTTTAAACTTCTTTCCACTCTTTTCAAGATCATGTTAATGAGCCACAGGGTGGTTCAGCCCCTCCAATCTGTCTGTAGATTTGTGGTTCATATCCTGATGTAACTACCCTTAGAGATTCTCCCTCTGTTATGAAATCCATTTGCTGTTTGCCCACAGCTCAGACCAGAATTCAGATGGCAGCAATAAAACCTAAGGAAGACACATCGAAAACTTACCTTTTCTCAGTTTTTCAGGAATAGAATCAGTGACATCTGGAAAAGACCTCAGGGCGCTCTGAACCTACAAATCAGGGTAATAGTCAAAGGCCTGTGTCATGCAGACAGCAGTGGGTGATTACCAAAATAAATCACCTGAATAATCAGACATATGGGCCAGTCATGAGTCTTACACATAGGTAAGATTTGTGGGGAATCAGGGCTTGGTGAGCCTGAGGCAGACAACGACCTGTACCCTGACCCTAAGGGCAGCAGAGCCATCACCCACCCACAAATGTCCTTTTCCTCCTGTCTGGAACAACCACAGCAGTGTGTTACCAAGGGTCTTTCCTAGTTACCAGTGCCATTGGTATTCTCTGCTTGCCATCCACTGTCCACTCTTTGAACAGAGCTGCCAGTGTCTCCCTTCTCATCTCTCTCTCCTCAGCCTTCTTTCTTTCCATCTCCTCCCTGGCCTCACGTTTGTCCTTTGCCTCAGCCTTCATCTTGACCAGCCTGTAGGACATGGGAATATGGATTGAAAAGATATCATCATAAACATACTTAAGCTTGACAAGCCTACCCTGAAGAACAAAAGGAAAGGAGGGAACTTTTTACTGAAATTCTTTTCCACGTGGTAGACATTTAAGGGAAAATCATCTGTGCAGCTCTTCTATTTTGTGTAATTTCAACAACGATAAATTTTACCTTCACATTTATAACGGCATTCATCATTTATTGTGGAGATGTCCTTCAATTTCCTTTCAATTTTAGCAGGAAGACAGGTGCATAATTTTGCTACACTTGATTTACCAACAGAATTGCATCAGTCTCCTTTGTCTCCAAGCCCAAGTACCTTTTCACACAAGTACTTCACTGGCAAAGAATGTTCGATGAAATTTCTGAAGCAGCCTCACACAATAGAGCCCTCACTGCCTTAGGACATGGAAAATACCCCAACCTCTCCATCATTCTGAACACACAGAGTTTGCAGGTTTGGACTAAAAGTAGCTCCCTTTCTTTCTTCTTTTGTTTTCTCTGCTTCCCTGATCACCCAGCCATGTTCTTCCCAATCCTCTCTTTCACACGACAAAAGAACTGAATAAAATTGATCCCGTAGAATTGTGATAATTTTGACTTTTTTAATTTATGAAATGGTAAAAAAAGCCTTTAGGAAGGTCAAAATGCTTGAAGCCAAAGAATTGGTTCATATGGGGAGAACAGCTCCTGTTCATGGAAGCTGCTGGAATCTCTCTGCACTGAGGCAGCTGCTCACCTTCATGGCCTTCACACCCTCTGTAGCTACTCAGAGAAAGGGGAATTGCTCCTCTTTTGTACCTGAGAACTCCAAAACGTGTATTTTAGCTAACAATTCCTGCTCCCTTCTTCCCCCTGTGTTTCACATGCTGTGAAATGGGCTGATCCTATTCCTGCTCTCTTCTGTTGCTCTGGGATCATCCCAGAAATTATAACCCATCAGTATCTTCTTTAATGAACAGAGAGACCTGTTTTACATGTCACAGCAATACTCTTTGATCACAGTCAGTTTTATCACCAGGTACTTGCTCTTCGTGGCCATTTATCACAGAGGTCTCTTAATGAATCACTGGGTTCCTCAATCAATGGTGGGCATTGCACAAGTCCTGCTGAGGCAGCTCAGCCTCCGGCACTTTGATACCAGGGGAAGGGGAAAAGAATTTCCCATCTTCTGATTCCTTCCCCGAGCCAGCAAAGGGGAGGAATGCAGCAGGTACCAACCTAAATGGACTAGCAGATTCTCCTCCATTATATGCTGCAGACAGAAAGAGAAAACAGACCATTTGTAGATGCAGCTCCTCCTCCAGAGCTGTCTGCAAGCCACAAGCAGAGAGAGGGCTGTGCATGGAGCTGCCAAGGTGCTCTGTGATTAATTTGGGCAGTGTCCAGCACAAGGTACATTCTGTGCTGCACCTGCACAGGGCTGCAGTTTTGCATTAATTTCTAGGGTCCTAAACCACTGTGCAGTTGTATCCTCTGCCTGGTGTCCCTGAGGTGGGACAAAATGTTTCCCCCCAGACTATAACAGCAAAACAGGGATAACAGCACTGGGCACCCATGGCAAAGTGAGCTCGTTTCATATCAGACATTGCCAGAAAAGATGAGATGGCAGCGAGGTGACTTCTCCCTGCAGAACCAAACATGTCTCCTCAGGAAGGGAGCTGCCTGCCTCCCACACAGGGATGGGTGACTCAGCCTGAAGGACTGCCATCCCTGGACAAACACATCTGTTACAGGTATCAGTCCCTGTGGATAAGGAATTTCTCCCATCTGTTCTCCTGCATGCCTCAGTGCAGTTCAGGAGAAACTGGAGGAAGCCCAAGTGAGCTCACTGAGGATGGGTAAGCATTAAATGGGAACCTGTGGTGATCCTGCCTTTCCTGAAGGTAATGCCAAGGCTCCCAGGAGCTTCATTTGGGCCAGAATTCAATTCCTCACCCTTCTGGTGCTTATGTGGGAGATGTTGAGCACAGACTGGCACTGCTCCTTTTACACTTCTTTCCTGTTTGGAAAGCCAGTGACTCACATGAGGAGTCTAAGTGCTGCATGGTGTTGGTAAAATCTCTGTGTTGCTGTGATTTGAGAATCTCATGCAAATCCCACAATACAGCCATCACAAATATGTAAATCCTGAGCTGTGGTGAATGCAAATCCCATGAGAGTACTACCAGTGGATATGCAAAACCTGCTACAGCCGTGAGATTACAGAAACCCCCGTGGCAATGCTGCCTATGGAGATATTTATTTCTACAAGTCTTGATAGTCACTTCTTTTGCATCAGCTCTGAGAGCTACAAATTGAGAACCTGCCTCCAAATGTAAACATGGGCTTAACAGCCAAGGTCAGGATCACAGGTCATGGGTAGCCAACACTTTACATTCTACAGGAAAATCTGCTCTCTCTAGAAATAAGCTGTGATTCACAACGGAAGCCAAGAGTATTTTAGCAGAGAAAAAAAAAAAACAAACCACAAAACCAAACCAAACAAAAATCCGACTGAAAACCTCAGGAAATTTTTGTATTTTAATTCAATTTCCTTTGCAAAATCAACTGAGATATGGTTCTGAACTTCCTACATGCAGGTGTCCCTCTGTGAAGCAATATAAGTGATGAAACAGTCCTAAAGCAAAGGTGTCGCAAGGCTGGCATCCTAAACATCCCCCCAGAAAAGTCTGTGCTTGAGTGAAAACTCACTGAAAGAGGTGTTTCCCCAGCTCATTTGTTCAGTGGACCAACACTTGAAAAGCAGAAAATAAACCTGGAATTCTTTTACCAGCTCTATTTTTACCACTGTATGTCTGCTTATGAAGAAAACCCAAAAGCTGAGCTCTTGCACACTGACCACATCAATCAGTTATGATTATTTTTATCTATGTTGAGAAAGGAGGTGACTGTATGAAATTCACTTCTCACACTGCTTTATTGAATTCACACCAGGCATGTTCCAGTGATCTGCAACAGTATGTGGAATGGAAATGTAGAGAGAAGCTCAGAGCAGCAGAGAGAGATTTAACATATCCTTTTATGCATTATAATGCTGAGAACTTCAATTATCTTCATTTAGGGTTTATGCATAAGACATGTCAACATTTTACTTCCCTAATTCCTGACACTGAAACCCTGAAACCAATTTTCAAGCTGTATGCACTATTTATGCAAATAGTCAGGCATTCAAATAGAAGTCATTATTCTACAAACACAGATACAGAATGAAGTGATCTAGTAGCAAATGAGTAATTTTGACATCAATCACAATCACGTCTGGATCATCTGCAAACTCAGAAGTTCACTTCTATATTTTTCTGAATAGAGCAACGAAAATAAAGCATTATTGCTCACCTATTGCTATCACATTCTAAGCTCAGCATATTGTAAGGTGACATGGAACCCCCTTCCAATATTCATTAAATATTACACTAAAGCAAGCAGCCTAGAAATAAGCAACAGAATAAAATACAAAACAGTTCCTACTTTAAAGGGAAAAATAGAATCTGAAAGGAAAGCCTAAGTAGAAATCACAGGAGGAGTTTCTACAATGTGCCAGGACAATGTTGTTGGTGGTTTGGTCAAGAGAAATCATTCTGAAAGGGAAAAAAAAGGTTATATGTTTATTATGTTTGGAAGAATAGAGAAGAAATGATCTGAGGAGTCTCTTGGACCTTTGATAGTAACACTTGTCCCAAAGAACTGCTGTCACTAAGCTAGACCGGTTTGGAAACAGTTTGCATTGCACATATGTAATTAAGATAGAGTCTAAGGAGGAATTATATACTTGTAAAGGGCAGAATATTGCCTTAAACAGGAATAACTAGTGTTTCATTTTGTGTGACATGTTCTGGCATTTGTCCTGCTTCTCAAGTTTTGATGAGAGACACTGCACTCCACAAGGTGTGTTTTGTTCAACACCCCACCAGCCAGGCTGCAGTGACACCATTCCTTTTGTAAAGGAGAGACCAGGACACCAGCTCTGGCCTCGTGACCAGCCCCACTGTCACCGTTCTCACCTCTCTGACGTTGTACCTCGCATCAAAGATTTGAGCTCCTCCGCCACCATCCTCGTTCCTCTCACGTAGGGGCCTGGTTTGGTAGAAACACTGTACAGAGGGTTGTGTCGCATCAGATATTCTGCAAGATAATTAATGGGGTCGAATGTGCTTGGGTCTTTGTCTGATACAAGCACATGCTTTCTTTCCACTTCCATTAACAGATTTTCTACTCCTGGGATTAATGTAGGTAGGAGTTTGTCAAGCAAATAGATGCGAGTATCGAGTGTCTCTCTCTCTTCGCTGTACCACTCTCTGGCCAGTGAGTCACAGGGTTCTCTCTTCTCTATCTTTTTTTCTTCTGCCTTTTGTGCTCCAATCACACTTGCCTTTGTCTCCTGCAGACTCAGACACCTTTGTTGTACCTTTTCATAAAAACACTCTTTCCACGAAGCGTAATTACTAAGACATGGCAGTTCATCATTCCCCTGATTGCTTCCCATTTCTGTGGCAGCTCCATCCTCATGTCCAAGTTTGGGATATTGCAGACCTGCAGACTCTGCTGATTCTTCTGGATGAGCAGCCATACCTCAATCACTGTGACACAGAAAAAAAGCAGCTTGTTATATAATGCCAAAAGATGCAGCAGGGCCCTAACAGGTGACACAGCAATAAAGTCTATTGTTAGGAATTAACTAATATTTTTTCTATGTTCCTTTTTTATTCTGTTACTGCTGCTTTGTACTCTTAAATAAATACAGCCCCTTTGCTCCAAAGAGCAGTAAATGATTTATAAAGATTAATTATGTATCACAACAGCCCTTGGAGACAGAGCAACTTACTGTGTTCCTTTCTTACAAGAGAAGAAACTGAGACACAAAGGGGGAATGATTAATTGCAGGTCACTTGGAGACTCAGAAACCGAGTGGTGAACAGTGCTCAGAACTTGTTCCCCAGTTCCAACCAGTGGAATCCTCTTACCCCCAGTACCATTATTTCTGTTTAGGTCCATTCCCTGCCTCCAGGAAATCCAGTGGATATGAGACAAAGGAAGCAAGTAATGGAAAATGTCAGATACCCAGCAGCAAGATTCCTCTATATGCTGCCTCTGCTTCAGCTTTTCTGTAGCTGTGAAGAACAGTGAGGAAGCTTGTCCCACAAACTACTTAACTTCAACTTTGGCAACTATTTTTCCCTCTGGATGTTTTGTTAAGGTAACAAGGACACAGGTGTGTGGATCAGCAGAGCTTCTACGGAAAGGGAAACTCTCTACCATGAACTCTGTAATCAAGTTGTTCACAAGCACTTAATGTTGTAGATTATTGTGTAAAAGAGGCATCTCCCTTTACAATTTCACGAACCTTGCTGGTTTTCTTCTCAAAATGTTCTTTCTGTGAAATATTAGGAAGAAACTGAGCTGCTCACAAGGCACAATTTGAAAAATGTTTCTGTGTGTCTCCAGGCATAACTATCTGCATCTGCAGTGGGATTTACACACACAGGATGGAGCAGAGGGCTGGCTACTACTTGATTCAAAGCATGAAAATTCAGCAGCAAGCTGCCAAACCCCAGCTCAGTGTTAGAAAACAGCAAGGAAGGGTGCTATTAATAAATAACCTAACACCTTCCCAAATTAAAGATGAAACTCCACTCAGAACTTGCTGCTGCACTAACCTTTTCAGGTTTTTATTTAAAAGAGCTTTTCACTGAGGCCTCTCAGTATCCACAGCAATACTGCTGCTTTTGATATGTATTGCTCTTGCTGTTTAAGCATTTGTAGCTGTTCTGAAGTGAGTTCAACCTTCCAGGAAATGCATAAATGTGATCTACAGCCCTCCTGGCACCCAAATGTAATTACTAATATGTTGACCTTCTGGTTCATTACCACTGTTGGAGTGCAAGTACTGCTGGATGGGTGGGATGCTTCACAGCATTGCATTTCTAGGTCTGTTTTCTTCATGGGCTTGTTGGCATCTTCTGGTAATTTGATTTCAAAGATGATTACTTGCCAGGGAATGGGATGAATTTATGGCTCAAACTGCCTGCCTGACCCACACAAAGGGTTTTAAGTTGGTAGCTGGTTTTGCCACTGAAGGACATGAGCTGTAAAGGAGTCTGAATTTGTAGTGGTAAAAAGGGAAACCTGTTCACCCTGTTGAATTGTTCCTTGCTTAGGTGAGTTCCTTTCAATGAGCTGTAAAACCAGACTCCTTGGTTCAAAGAAGGGTGTTAACCAAATGTTCTGGTCACATTCCAAATCAGCTGGTTTTGTTGTGCCAAAATAAACTGTTCTTGCATTTTCAAATACTTATGTTATTTTTTAAACATCCTTTACGAAACCCTCTGCAGTTTCTGTGCAATGTTAAGTGACAACTGGCCTCTGCTTCACGAGGTGGCTGATTCTGAGACATGATGAATACATTTTGTATGCTGCTCTCAACCTTTTGTTAGGATGGTTTTGAGGATTAGTAAATGTTTATAAAGTATCTCTATGTCCAAAACAAAACATAAAACAACTAGTGCAACTGTTCTATCTCAATTCCAGGGCATTCACATAACTCCAGGAATGGAAGCAGAGCCCAGAGAACTGTTCCCACTGCTTTAATGCAGTACAGATGGAGGAGACTAAGAGGGTATGGAAGAACACACAAACAGTACATAACTGTTCAAATAAACAACAAAGGAGTGCCAGAATCAGGCCCTGAAGCTTGGAATTTGTTGAGGATAACAGGGACACACCTCCAGTTTGGATAACACACCATTGGCTCATAAACTTCAGTGCTGATTTATGTTAGTTCAGAATTTGGCCCACAAGGGAAAAATCCTTAACTGAAAGGGTGGTCAGGACTGGAATGGGCTGCCCAGGGAAGCGGTGGAGGCCCCATCCCTGGAGGTGTTCAAGAAACGACTGGACGTGGCACTCAGTGCCAGGTCTTTGGTCAAAAGTTGGACGTGATGATCTCGGAGATCTTTTCCATTCTTAATGATTCTATGAGTCTATGATTCTATAAAAATACAGAGAGCTCTCATGGCCTATGGCATTCCCAAATGGAGCCCAAATAACAGTAAGCATGGAGCACAGAGGCAAACTTTAGAAACACCTAGGAAGTTTGAAAGGTCATATAAAGTTTCCTGTAAGCCTTTGTTCAAGCTGAAGGCAAGATAAGCTTTCCATTATTTAGCAGGATGCCACTTTCCTGACTCCTTTTCTGTGAGAAAAATATCCTTGCTGGAATCCCTGCAGGTACAAAAAAATTATCTCTGTGTTTTCTGTACAAAACCCAAATCTGCCCATAAATAAGATTCTTATGGTTTCATTGTTATTCTGTTAGGGAATTTCGATGGGTGGGACAGGGCCAGGAAACACTACAGTTTGTTTAGGTAAGTATTTTGGAGATGTCTGAGTCACAAAATCTTTCCAAAAACAGAGTCCAATCTTTTTGAGACTCTAACACTCTAATGTGTTCCACAGAGCATGTTTATCTCATCAATCACAAAGAGCCCAATACCCTTTTCATACATGATCTTTTCAATACAATTAAAATTTTAAAACATTTTTCTTTTTGCTTTCTGAAGCTTTGAAGAACTGTTTTTCTTACCTTTGGAGCAGGTATCAAAACAGATCTTACTCCTCCTGCATTCAAAGTGGCTTTGCAAATCAAGAGGAATTTAATACATGCCCATCTGTTCTCCACCATTAAAAATCTTGAAGTGAATTAGGGATTTCTCAGACCTGCTGTGGAGCTGGGCTGTGAGTTTTACTCCTCTGTGTGTTTGCAGTTGCTAAGCAATAATCCCAAAGGTTGCTATGTCTTTCCACGAGCAGGATTGCTGTAGGTTGTCTTTTGGCTTTGGCACAGCCCAACAGGCTCTTCTGTACTGAACTTAGATCATTGCACCACATGACTGAAAATAAAATCCAAAAAGGACTAGGAATAGCAACAGACAACATTAAGGGCACAAGTAGAGAATCTGCAGGTGCCCAGTGACAGGTTTACCTTCAGATTCGAGGATCATGAAATCCAGAACTGTCACAAGTCCATTACCAGCTGAAGGGAGGACTGTGTTAACCAGATGTGAGAATCTGAGACGTAAAATTAATTCCAAACTCAAATTTAAACATTTTCAGGCTTTCTTTCTTGTGAAGAACTGCATTGCTTTGAAGCAGCCTTGCAGGAAAGGCACACAGAGCACTAAATAGGGGGAAGTGCACAGTGCCATTTTGTTAGACTGCTTTTAAACCTGAACCTAAAGGAATTTGATGAATCTCCTTTCATAATTTCTCCTACATTCTTTGAGGAATAATATGCAACATAGGGAAAGGAGAAGGGAAAAGACAAACACATCTTCAACAGCCATCCTGCACTCATTTACTCTAATGCAAATCAGGTGCCTCTTCAGCGATTTCCTTGGCTTAGGCAGGACTTCCAGCTGAGAAATTTATGGCAATTTCTGCCAGGAAACAAGGTTTATCTAATGCTGGTTTTAATTTGTATTTTGTGCTGGAAGTGGCATAATCTTTGGATTTCCTACCTGCGGGAAAACTGAATTGTGAATTTATCTACAGTATTTGTCATTGGAGAAGCTGCACAATACCCTGCCCTCTGGCATGGTATTAGTCTCCATTTCATGGGACAACTTGTAAGAAACCTTGAAATAGAGGAGGTCAACTTTCATGTGAAAAATAGCTGTAATAAATTACTATTTCTTTGCTATTTATTTGGAAAAAATGTATCAGAAGGAAATGCAGTGCATTTCCAAGACGTGTTGAAGTCTACCATCAATTATGTTAACAAAATGAAGCAGAAAATTAGTGCACAGGACTAATTTAAAATGAGGCTTTAAACTGGATTGTGCACTTTTGTCCTCAAAGCGGGTTGCACATGATTAATTCCTGTTATCTCTTCTCCCAGGTGTGCTTGGTTTTCCCCCTTTGCAATCCAGAATTCTGTTGCTTATTATGATTAACTTACAAAACTTTTTTCAGTATGAAACATAAATTAAGAAGATACTCTCCCTTTTGCTAAGTGATTTTTTTTCAACCCCCAAACAAGAGTATACAAATAGAACTTGGAAGGAGGGATCAAAATGGCTCTATTTTTGTTTTTCTGGAAGTGGAATCCCGTGGGTTAAGCAAACCTTTAATTGTACCCTATTTAACTTGGCTGTCATCCCTTAATGTTTTTGCTAAGCAAAGTGTATCTTTTTATTATGCCATCAAATACTTGCACTGTTGACAAAATAATGGGCTGACTATGTCATCACAGATGTTTTGCTGGAATTGCCTCTTCTGTCTTTTTTTTGTTTTTCTGTGTAAGATACATTTTGGGAGCACTCTGATGTCTTTTGCAGCCAAGATTATGCAATAAAAGCCCTAACATGTAGTAATAACAAGTTGTGTTAGCCAGAGAAATGTTTGCAGTGTATTAAATAGTCAGTTTTGGAAATGTTTACAAAACCAGCTCATGTACAGCTCCACATCCTTTAAATGCTGCACTGGGCTGAAGCTGCAGGTGCTGACCACACAGGAAAGAATAAGGCCACAGGCTTCCAGTCTCCTTTTTGTACCATCCCTGATGCTGTGACCACAACCTGCCCTCTAATTGCTCTTTTCAATCCCAATACATCTGCCTTTTAGCTTCCCCCTCCACATTTAAATTCTGCTGCTAAAAGACACTGCACGTGCAAATTATACCTTTCTAAGGGCTGGAGAACCATCCCAATCTGTGATTATTGTAGTTAACAACTGATATGTTGGACTGTAGATAGCAACTCTATTATTTACTTGTGGTAAATGTTTTTTATAAGGGTTTGCTGTTCAAATACCTGGAAGAGCTACAGGGTATGAAAAATTACACAAAAGTAATTTTGGAAGTTGGTGTAAATAATCATTTCTCGATAGTAATCCCTGCATGACTTGATCAAAATCCAAAATGAAACGCCAGTCCCAGGTGAGGGAACTGCTACAACACTCTGGGAACTTCAGTCATCCATCCTCTGTACCAGTGCAGAGGCATCTGAAGATGAGCTACGTGCCTTGTAGCAGCCCTATATTTGAAGGAATGAAACTAAAAAACCTCAAATTATACTTTAGAGAAAGGTGAACAGTCATATGCCAGAAGAGGAAAAAACTTTCCCATCCTCAAATGGAACTCCTGCCTCTGCAGAAAATCATGGGAAAAACTTTACAGCATCATGGCCTCATGCCTGGCTGCCACCTCAACATGCAGTTTAGTTACTTAATTTAAAAGGAGTCTGGAAGGCACTTTCTTGACCTCTTTGCCATAAATCAGTGTGCTGCAAGCACACCATCCATAAATACTGTGTTTCAAAAAAGCAACATTTTGGCTGTAAAACGCAGGACAAGGGCTCTTCATTTCCCAGTGGGTTTTGCTTATTCTCCCCATGTGTTCAGATCCCTCTGGGGAGTCTTTTGGATGAGCAGCCCACCCTACAAACAGGGACAAACAGGGAGCCTGTCCTCAATCCCTACCCTCCATCCCTGTCCTCCATCCTCGCCTGTCCACCAGGAGGCAAAATGCTTCATTAGCGATCCTCACCTCTCCATTGCAGCAAAGCCCAGCTACAGGAGCCTCCCTGATCATTATTTTAACTGGGGAATAACCTTAAGAGCGACCATGTGGCTTCTCTGGCACTTAAATTTACAGGGGCAAAGTGCAGTCAGCCTGAGGAGCAGATCAAAGCCATATCAGCCATGTGCTTAAAAGGAATCTATGGGTTAATACACACTCTTGACAAAAAATTTCCTCTGTTTAATATTTAGAACAGCTTCTGGTTATCATTTGTGGTGGTGTCATTCAATACTCAAGACAATTCTTGATCCCAGTTACCTCCTTCCCATGAATTTGGTGGATTCTTGATCCAAATTACCTCCTTCCCATGAATTCGGTAGCACCAGGCTGAAAATGCAAGGCAAATGAAGTTTAACAGCACTTGACCCTTTGCCTCAGACCCCGAAGCGTTGAGCAGTTCTGCATCTGTGGATGTCTGAGTGCCTAAAATGTCTCGTGTACTCATCAGACTCGTTTTTTGCTGTTTGGGCTTGTGCATTGATGTATGAAGAGGTGTTCTATGCTGTTTTCATTATGGAAAGAGTTACTGTTGCTGCCACAGCTGAGGAAAAGCTACATTATTTGAGCACTAATGCCAAATTTCACCAGTGGGTGCCAAGCCCGCTGTCACGGATCCCAGTGGGATGGGACTCCACAAACCATCACCAGCCAGGAAGCACACTGAGGGGGCCCAGCTGACACACATTCATAAAAGCCACCTCTGGGGCTGAGAGACAGGAGGGGCGACGCTGGGACCCCCTACTCCACTGCCGTTCCCTCAGGGACCGGGGGTGGATGCCGGGACCCTCCAGCTCCCTCAGGGACCAGGGGTGCGATGCTGGGACCCACCTCACGCCCCCAGGGACCAGGGATGGATGCCGGGACCTCCAGCTCGCTCAGAGACCAGGGGTGCGATGCCGGGACCCCCCACCCCCGCCGTGCCCTCAGGGACCGGGGGGCGATGCCGGGACCCCCCTCAGGAGCCGCCGGCGCCGCGGGGGTTAACGCGGCGCGGCCGCCAGGGGGCGGCGCCGCGCGCGCGCTGACAGCCGGCGCGTGCGCGCTGGCGCCTCATTGTGCCCGGCCGGCCCGGCCCCGCCGCGCCTCAGTCGGCGAGAGGCCGCGGGCGCGCGCGGAGCTGCTGCCGCTGCCGCCCCCTGCGGCCGCCGCCGCCACCTCCGCATCCCCCCCTTCCCCCGCCCGCCCGCCCGCCCGCCATGGAGTGACGGCCCCCGCCGGACGGCCGGACGGGGGGGCCCCGCCGCGCCTCGATGGCTCTGGTCACGGTGCAGCGCTCGCCTACCCCCAGCGCCACCTCCAGCCCCTGCGCCTCGGTGAGTCCCCGGCGGGCGCTGAGGGGGCAGCGCGGCGCTCGGCGGCCGTTGGGGTCCGGCGCGCGGCGCTGCGCATGCGCTCCCCACCCCCCCCCCCACCTCCCGCAGTCGCCCCCCGGTGCCGGCGGGGTCCGGGCCCCGGGCCGGGGGCGAGGGGGGCCCGCGGTCCGCCGGGAACGGGGGTCACGCACCCTGCGCTGTGGCCTGGTGACAACCCGGGGGACGGGCGGGGGGTCCCGCTGCCCCTCAGCAGGCCCGCAGTTCCCTACCGGCCCTCGGGGCACCGCGGGGCCCCGGTCAGACCCAGCCCCGCTGTGAAGGATGGGGCAGCGCGGGGCTGTTTCTGTAAATCCGCCTGGTTTAGTCCGTGCTCATTGTGTGCGGTGGGAGAGGCGGGAAGCGTGTGTGGAAGAGACCTGCCATGGTTGGGGCTCCGGCCGTGCTCAGCTGATCTCATCTGACAGCACCTCTGGGCATCCCCAGCGCCCTGCCTTGGCCAACACACAAGGGTGCTTTTGCTGCCCCTTCTTCCGAATGGTGAATATAATTTTCACGGGGCTGTGACAAGCCCAGGACAGGCACAGAACGGCAGATTCCAAATCCCCGGGTGAGATGTGCAGAACGGGACAGATGTTCCCATCGCTGCCCTGGGTCAGGCTTCTGGCTTTCCATGCTCTTTACACTTAGGACAGACTGTTGTTTTAGTACTTCTGTGTTGTAAAATCCTGTTTGTTAACCCCTTCAGCTGCTGCCAACCCTGTTTCCTATGTAACCAAGGATGAGAATGAAAATAGCTTGCTTTCACGTCTGTGTGCTCAGTTCTAAGTTAGCTTTTATCCTTAAAAAACCTCATGCATTATCACACTGGCGTTATGTCTGGTTTGCAAATGTTTGGAGGGAGAGAAGAATTGAAATCCCAGTTGCTTCCGTCGTGGAGGGGGGGGGGATGAAAAAGCCAAGTACTCTGAAAATATTTCTTGTTGTGTTAGGTAACCTCTTCAGAAACTAGATCAGCTACTTGACAGGTCCTGCCTGCCCTGACAGCATTTTAGCTGTCAGAACACTTATTTTTTTCCCCCCTCTTTCATTCCCATGCCTCTCCTAAGGTATGTTTATTTAGCAACACAGATTAATTTCACTTATATTTCTCTGCTATAAATATTAATGTGCTGTCTTACTCAGAGATTGCCTCCCCCTTTGACTTCTTTATCCTTTCCACTATTCCTTTTCCCATACAGTTATTGTATTTAAGATGCCTTGTGAGAACAGATAGAGCTCTCTTGGCATCTTCCTTCTTTCTCCCACTTGGATGCATAACCCCTCCCTTTCTTAAATATTTTATATAAATATGAACAATTAGTTGTGTTCTTTAAAGCTTTTCCATCTGGAACAGCCAGGCTGTTTCCCAACCAATTAAATTAAATTGAAGCTGTGCTGATTTTTGGACACTAGTTTTTAAATATAAAAACAACTCCCTGTGGAGCCTGATAAGCCCAGGAGGTGCAGCTTTCAGTGTATGTATCTATATTCTCTTTCTTCCATCCCATAGCTCAGAGTGTATTCTGTGCCAGCGGGGTTTGTACAGCCTTGGTGCCCTATCCAAAAATAAGTGTGTGCCATGTTCCTGGCCTGCTTTTGGTTCTCATAATTGCTTCTACTTTCTCACACTTCTCTTGCAGTATAAAGTGCAAATGATTTTCGTCACATTCTGCCCTTAACTGCTGTTGTTTGAGCACTTCTGCATTTCCTGTTGCAGCTTCCTAACCACACTTCAGGGGTTTGGCTGCCCTTTTAGCCTCTCCTTAGATAGCTGGGCTTGTTTCTCCATCCTTCCGCCAGGGTTTTGCTGAGCTCGTGTGTGTTCCTCCTCTGCCACAAACTTCTTGTTTCTTACTCAGAACTTTTGGTATCATTTCAGATGATGTTCCCTCCTCGCCTGCTGAGGGCTCCTGAACAAGGGCAGACACATTTTTAGTCCTTAAGAGAGCTTTGGGCCTGCCACACTTGCTGTTGTGATGGATCCTTGTCAACTTCAGCAGGAGGACTTGATTCTTTGAGTTTTAATTGAAATTGTTTCTACCATTCTGTTGTAACCTGGTGGTAGCTTCCTTCTATACCAAGTAACTATCTCCAAGTTACTACTTTAAAAGAAAACTTGTCTTGCTGAGTAATTCTTATGAGTAGTATAAGGGTCTGTCCTGCAGCGTGGAACACTCTGCTTTGGAGCAAAGATTTTCTGGTGCTGCTGAAACTTTGCTGTTCCAGCTTGTGGGCAAGGGAGAAGCCTGTTGGTGTGCAAGCATATGGCTCTGTCTAATTCTGGTTCCAGGTCACTAAGAATTTTGAGGACAGAAATGGATTCTCTTTAAAATTGCTCAGTGTCTTTTTACTTGAGAGATAAACTTCTCAGGCAAGGAGAAAGGGTGAAATTGGTGTCCTCAGACTGAATTTTTTGCATGAAGTATGCCCTATAAACTGTTATAATTGGCTCTTGTGGATTCAGGGGAGTAGCTGATCTCAATCACTCTGAAATTGGATGGCTTTTATTTATAGGTTTTTATCTTGTTCTCATTGCCATAGAGCATCTCATGAGCATTCATTTCAGGGTAGTTCATGCAAAGTGTCCATTATACATTTACAGCCCTCTGGTTGCTTGATGACTTGTAAAATTCCTTTAATTGTCGGTCCAGACTTTTGCTGTTTGTTTTGGCCTTTGGTTATACAGTCACTCTTGAGAAATCAGACTGCAATCTTCACTTCTTAAAGCAGAGCAGTTGTCTTCTGACATGCCCTGTTGGCAGAAAGTGGTCCAAGGCAGGGCTGTGCTTCATTAAAATGTAAAGGTACCACGAGCCAGAGAGGGGCTCCCTTGGTGCTCATGCTGATGTATTGTTGTTCAAGGCAGTTGTTGACTAATAAATCTGTATCAGAAAATAATCTATTGAAACTTGCTCTTTTATATTATTTGTATGCACAGTTCAAAAAAAAATTCTGTAGTTTCTTTAGGGTGCAGTTTTCTTTTTGTCTATTATATCTCTTTCCTGAGAAGTGAAGAAGCTGGCAGGCAGTCTGGCCCTGGCTGCTCTCACAGTTCACTTGCCTTCCCTACCCTCAGGGACACAATATGCTTTCATTGGAAGGGACCGACTGACCCAAAAAGAGAGGCTATGCTGTACATGTATTGTTCTAAAATGCACAGTTTTGGAAAAAGAATATGCTAAAGCAAATGAAAACCTAAGCCATTGAACTTCCCCTCCTTAATCCCAGGAGAACAGCTTGAGCAGGAAGCAGAGTCCTGCAAATGTGTTGGGGAGTCTCTGTCATGTTGTGCTTGGGAGCTCCTTTCTGGTGGAACTTACAGGAAACACTTTTCCCACTTATTTATGGGGAAGGTAAATATTACATTTCTCTACCCCTGGTCCTGTAATTGCTGTTAAAGAATGTGGTAATTGTGAGTTTACTTTATCATTGGTAAATCTGGTCTATCTCACATAGAACTTATTTTTCTTTTTTCCTTTTTTTCCTAATTAATTAAGATCTTGATAGCTGCTGAGTTTATAGCGTTATGGAGAGTTGATTTTTGGAGGGGACTACAATGTAGCTGGGAGATCAGAAGCTTCTTATGAAATACTTAGTAGATTTAGGAATGCCTGATATTTGAAGATGGTATCATCTGTTGTTCGTTGGTTTTCCTCAGCTGATGTTTTCCAGGTATAGCCAGAGCTCATTCTGGAAACTGAAGTGTTTGGAGGCAGTGGCCCAGAAGGATGAGCTGATTCCTGCTTGAGGCAAACCTTGTGCTGTACAGATACCTCAGATTCCTGTGGTGCCAGCTGTCACCATTTGGGAGATAAAACTGTTTCAGTGAGGTGACCTGTTACTTCTTCCCTGTCTTTCAAACTTCTGTTGAAACTTCTGTGAGGGAACCAGAAGACCTCTGCCTCTTGCTGGGCTTGATGCTGTGTTGTTAAAAGATGAAGATTTCTCTCCAGCAGCACAAATAACTTTAGTGTGTGTAAATGGATTCACGTGTGGTGATATTCTCCTGTTCCTAAAGCAGCTTGATGGTCAAACTGTGACAAAAGACCTGTCCCTTCTCTGGAAGATCTGCTGCCTGTGCATACACACTGAGCAGGCTCTTGTAGGGATCTGCATGAAAGCAGATCCTCAGAGGATCTGATCTCCTTAGGGGTCAGAACAGTATTTGGAGCTGAGAGGGAGGATGGTGACAGTTGACTTGGAGCATCATAGAGAAACATTCTTAAAACTTTCAAAGTACAAGAAAAAAGTCTTTACCTTTTTTTTTTTCTAAGGGATCTGACTGTCCCTTTGTAGCACATCTCAGTGATAGGCTTGATTTCTGTTTTGTCTTATTTCTTCTTGAAACAGCCTAAGGTTTCTTTACAGAGTTGGCATTTGCTTCTCCCACATTCTTCACCTTCTCTTTGTTTCGTTCCTGAGGTGTTGCTTTACCAGTTGTCAGTTCTGGAGTATTTGTGTCTTGACCAGTGAAGTCCAGCCCACAGAAGCTCTGGTAGTTGGCCTAGAGACTGAAGCCTACTTTTCTTGGAATAAGAAGTCAAACTTCTTGTAGTACTGTGTCAATGTTGGCCTAAAATGGCCATTTTTAGGTTGAGAGGGAAATTTTGTCTTTTTACTTATTTCACCCTTTTTTCAATCCACCAACTATGATGCCACTGCTGCATTTTAGATAAAAAACTCTTCAGCTCAGTTGTATCTTTGGAACTATGAACTTGCATTGAAACAAACTGAGTGCAATACATATTTAAGTTCTAACCTCTTGAGTTCCAGCAGCACATAAATTCTTGTGTTTTGAAAAGGAGCTTGTAATTCAAAAATGAAAATAACCTGTGATGCTGTAATGAGTCATTATCTGACCAGTATTGATTCTTGCTGTTTTAAGAAATGAAAGTAAGTTGAAAAGGGCAGGGTACAGTAGCATCTACAGTTATTTTGGGAACCAATGACACATTTATTTG